TTTAAAAAATTTTAATGTAGGTCTTTGACCCATTTTGAACTAATTTTTGTGTGTTGTGTGAGGTAGGGTTCCAGCTTCCTTCTTTTGTGTGTGGATAGCCAGATGTGCCAGGACCATTTGTTAGAGAGACTTTTCTTTTTCCACTGAAAGGTTTTGACACCAGTTGTTGGAAATTAATTAACCATAGATGTATGGGCTTGTTTCTGGACTTTCAATTCTATCTTACTGATCTGTATGAATATCCTTATGCCAGTGCCCTCCTGTTCTGATTACTGTAGGTTGGTAGTCAGTTTTGAAATTAGGAAGTTAAGTACTCCAATTTTTTTTCATCTTCAGGATATTATTTGGGTATATGCAATGCCCTGTGGATTTTAGGATGAGCTTTTCCATTTCTGCAAAAAATTAAATAACTAAAATTGCTTTGGAATCCTGATAAGGATTGCACTGAATCTGTACATCTCTGCAGGGACCATTGCTATCATAACAATATTGATTCTCCCATCCATGAATACAGTTTTCTGTGTACAAGTCTTGAGCATCCTTGGATAAAATTATTCCTTATATTTTATTGACTATTTTGACATCTATGTTCATAAGAGATTGGTCTATAGTTTTTTTTTTCTTGTGAAATCTTTATCTGGTTTTGTTTACAGGGTAATGGTGGCCTCATAGAATTATTTAGGTAGTATTCCTTTCTATATTATTTTACATTATTTTATTTTATTTAATGGAGAAGTTTACAAAGGATTAGTCTTTTAAATGGATGATAGAATTCAGGAACAACTCCATCTGGTGTGGGCTTTTCGTTTGGGGAAGCTTTTGATAAACGATTCAATGTCTTTACCTATTGCAAGTCTGTCCTGATTTTCTGTTTCTTCTAAAGTCAGTTTTACTAATGATTTACTATATATTGGCTAATTGAACTTAATTTAAAAAAAAGTCAGTTTCAGTAGTTTGTGACTGTTTAGGAATTTCCTCATTTCATCTAACCTACTGTTGAATAATTGCTTATAATATTCTCTTATAACCCTTGATAAATTCAAATTATATACATATATAAAATTATTATGTATACCAAATATGTGCAATATTATTATGTGTGCCAAATAATACTATTATTAATATATAATATATAGATCTAGAACATGCATATGTTATATGCATATATTATATTATGTATGCATTCTATAAATTAT